TTTTTTTTTTTTTTTTAAGACAGTAGTTGCATGGTGTAGGTTTGCGTCTCTAAACAATATAAGTTTAGTTTAGCTTGTTTGGGACTTTATACATTTTATATCCTACAGTATGTGTTCCTCTGACTTTTAAAAAATTCATTGCACTTCTAAGATTTACCTGAGTTGTTGTCTACAGATATTCACACACTTTCATTGCAATATAATGGACCATCCTGTGAACATTATAAAACTTACTCTCCTCTTGAAGGATTTGGGAATTGCTTCGGTTTTACTTGCTTCCTTGTTTTGTTATTATAAACAATAGTATATACTATAAACATTCTTGTATGTGTATTATGAAATGTATCAGAATTTTTCTATGGTACAAACTGAAGAGTGAAACCTGGAAAGGATACCTGAGAGTTGAATTCTATAATACAGTGTCAAATTACTTTTCAAAATAATTGTCAATTTACATTCTACATAGTGACATTTTCAGACTTTCCACTACTAAATATTCTCCTCAGCTTTAACACTGTTGAACTTCTCAAATTTTGTTCTGTAGGTGTAAAATGCTGTCTCATTGTGTTTCTGACTTCTAGTTACCTAATTGCTAAGTAGGCTGAAAATATTTTCAAGTTTATTCACCTTTCATTCTATGAAATGTCTGTTCACATCTTTTGCTCAACAGATGTTTTCCTTTTTCCAAATGATTTTAAAACCTTTTTTTAATATATTCTGAATACTACTTCTATGATCACTGTATATTTAGCAAACATGCATTCCCACTTTGTGACCTGTTTTTTCAATTTCATAATGTCTTTTGATAAATAGGTGTTCTTAATTTTAATGTTACCAAATTTGTCCAGATTTCTTTTATGGTTAATGCTTTAATGTCTTGTTTCACAAATTCTGTCATGTTCCAATATCATAAAAATATTATACTATATTATTTTTTTAAATTGCCTGTTATAATTAAGTCTTTAAATTCTTTGAATTCATTGTGTCTGGAATGAGATAAGGAATACAAATTTATTTCTATGCACATGGATACTGAAGTTTGGGGTTATTCAGTTTTTAACATTATCGTATTTATAACAGTCCATTGCTAATTACCGAATATTTCCCCATTTCCCAGTGATTATCATAAATATACATGTCTAACTGGAGGTTCTCTACTGTATTCCACTGGTCAGTTTGTTGATGTCAGGACCAATACTACTTGTCTGTTTTTTTCTTTTCTTTTTTTTTTAAGCAGGTCTCTCTATGCTGCCTTGGCTGGCCTCAAACTTGTAAGCCTCTTGTCTCAGCCTCCTAGTGACTATCTGAGCATGTCTCATGCCCAGATTCATAATAAATATTAATATCTAGAAAGGGTACTTCTATTCTTAGGTCACAAGTCTTCAGCTTGTCAAACTCCTTGAAAAGGCATATAGGACTTTTATTAGAATTGCATTAAACATATAGATCAATAAGGGAGAATTGAAAATTGTATAATATCAAGTCTTCTTCTCCATGCACATGGATGCATCTCTCTCTACTTTGGAAATATTTAATACTTCTCACTAATATTTTATTATTTCTATTATATAGACTACACATATCTTGTCAAATTTATTCTTCACACTAAATCTTAGCCAAGAGGCTGAGAAGTGATAAATTTAGTCTTTAATACATTACACTGTTGTTGCTATCATAAATGGCATTTTATTTTGGATTACACTTTCTGTTTGATTTTAGTGGGCAGAAATGCAACTGGTCTTAGAGCCAATCACCTTGCTAACTTCTCCCATTCGTTACAATAATTTTGCTGTAGATTTCTTTGCTTATTTCAGGTAGACAATTATATTATTTGTCTGAACACAATCTTTACAGTGAACTATATGTGGATACCTCAGAGTTAATAGTTTCTCCATTTTACAGTATTCTGACATTTCAAAGTGCTATACTCTTATGGGTTAGAAGAATGAACTAACCTGCATGGTTTAGGGCATCCAAAAAGCCACGGAACCAGCCTTCCACCTGGAGCTCCAACAAGAGTTTAATAAAAAGTGAGGCAGCCTCCATCGGACCTTTGTTGTTTTTCTCAGCCTGGATATACTGCACTTCATCTACAAATGAAGAAAAAATGACTCATCAAATTACAAAACTACTATTCACTAGAACAAACCCTGAAAAGTACAGCCAAATCTTCTAGAAGAGGGTTGGGGATTGTAACAAGTCACAAAGTTGGAAGAAACTTCAGGAAACCAACCAATTCTCTGCCCAGGCTGACTATGCTCATTCTTCATCAACCCACCCTCTCCATCCATGATGGAAACTCTCATTTAGTATGGAAATCTTAGAGCACACTCTAGATAAGTTCTGTCTGTCTGTCTGTCCTCCCTTCCTTCCTCCTTTCTTTTTCTTTTTTCTTTTTTGTTTGTTCATTTGTTTGTTTGTTTGTTTCCTTATTGGAAGTTGAACCCAGGGCCTTCATAAAGGAATACACCTTCAATTCTTAATTTTTGTTGAGACAGCGTCTTACTAAGTCACTTAAGTTGTCCAGGCTGGGCTTAAATGTGCACTCTTCTTGACTCAGCCTCCCAGAGTGCTGGGATTTGTGTGTGGTCTACCATCTGGCTAGGAGACATTTGAAAAAGTCTTCCCACAACAAAGGGAAAAGCACAGTAGCACCAGATTAGAAGCAAAACCAGGTCTGGAGATTTAGCTCAGTGGTTCCACCACCTGCCTCACAAGTGCAAGGTTACAAATTCAATCCCTGGTACAAAAAACAAACAAACAAACAAAAATAAAAACAAAAGCAAAGACTTCTTTTGTTCAAAAGGCTGAAGCAACTGCTAGACTAAAAGTGTTCAAGGATGAGATCCTCCATGGCATCAGGAACAATTATAGTGGACTCAGCAGGTAGTTCAAAATATAAGCCACATGAGGTGGCGCATGCCTGTAGGTCCAGCACTTGGGAGGCTGAGGCAGGAAGGAATGCTGTGAATTCTGGATTAGCCTGCACTACACATAGTGAATTCAAAGGCATCCTGAACTACATAGTGAAACCTTGTCCCAAAAAACAAAAAAACCAAACCAAAACAAAACAAAACAAAAAACCATAGGGATACTCTCTTGATCCTTTTTCCAAGTTTTTGCTAGAGGATGGCAAAAATAAGAGAAAGAAAGGAGCTAAAGAGAAAAATGGTGAGGCCAGTTAGCAGAGAATGACCAAGTTACTGATGCTCACTCTGATTTTATACACTTAATTCCATGCCTAGGGAATAGTTACCAGCCCCTTAGTATGATCTCACATTTGATTATCTTCCATTTTTTCTCTACTTGATAGAATGCAAATTTTAAGAAAATGAGTAAGTTGACTAGCTGGCTGACCACCATCTTCTTATGAGAGATCAGAAGAGGATTTGGCACATAAGAGACACCCAAAGATTGGCTGAATGGAGAAGGAATGCCTATCTATAGTTAATTTGAGATTTCTGTTAAAGCCTGTCTCAGTAACAGTAAAATTAACTATTTTAAAGTGTGAGATTCAACGGTTTTTAGAGTTGTGAGCCCATTATTCCTACCTAACTTTAGTACATTTTCATTACTATAAAAAGAACTCATATATGCATTAGCACTCACTCCCCATTTCCCCTCCCTTGGCCCCAGGCAATCACTAGTCCACTTGGATCTCTATAGATTTGCCTATTCTTGACATTTCATGTGAACGGAATCACATAGCGTGTGATCACTGATGACTTCTTTAACTTGGCAAGTTTTCAAGGTTCATCCATGTTGCAGCAAACATCATTCCTTCCTTTTAATTGATAAATAATATTCCATCGTATGCATATATTACCCACTCATCAGTTATAAGCATTTGGATTGAAACTACCTTTTTGCTATTTAGAATAGGAATACTACGAATATTTGTGTACAATTTTTAAATGCATATATTCATTTATCTTGGGTATACACAGAGGTATTGCTGGGTCATATGGTAATTTCATTTCTGACAGTGTAAGGATTTGTTAAACTGTTTTCCAAAGGAGTCGAACCATTTTACGTTCCCACCAGCAATCTAGAGAGATCTCAATTTTTACACATCCTTGTCAATGCTACTTAATATCTTTTCATTTAGCCATTTATACTATTCCCTGTGGCTGCAGTAACAAATTATTACAAACCAGGTAGATTAAAACAACAGAAATGTATTTTCTCATAGTTCTATAAGCCAGAAGTCTGAAATCAAGGTTTCAAAGAGCCATACTTCCACCAAAAGCTCTAGAGGAGAAGCATTTATTTCCCTTTCCAGATTCTGGTGGCTGTTGGTATCCCTTGGTTTGTGACCTCTCTTCTTTAATCTCTGTCTTCATATTGCCTTCTCGTCTGTCTGGCTTGTGGCTACACCAATGCAGTATCGACCTGTCTTCATACATACATTTTCTTTGTCTCTGTGTGTCTGTCTATCCACGGCTTCCTTCTTATAGGGATGCCAGTCATATTGGATTAAGGGTCCACTTTACTCCAATATGACTTCATTTTAATCACATCAGTAAAGATCCTATGTCCAAATAAGATCACAACTAAGGTACTAGAAATTAGGACTTCAATGTATCTTTTCAGGGGACATAATTCAACTCACAACAGCAACATATTTTATCATTATAGAGCATCCCCAGACCCACAACCCTTCTCTATTTCTTTAAGTCAGTCCATCCTATTCCTAAACTCAGTGCTTATAGCTGTGTTGCTACTCCTTGCAGCACGGTCTTTCCTTAAACACTCTACTAACCACCAGTGAATCACTGCATGGAGGTCTAGATGTATTCCAGCCATTGTTGAGGCCTTCCCAGGTACACCACCTTGTCATACAAGGGCCAGTTTATATTTATACCTTGTACATGGTAAGGCCCATTCTGCTGCTAGCTGGCCTCATTTGCTCCTAGAAAGAAGTGATAATTTTCTCAAAAGCAGTGAGTTCAATACAAGAGAAAATCTTTAGGGAAAATCAGTAATTCAGATTGCCTTTGCTGTCTCGAGTCCCTCTGTGATGCCATCCTCAGTTTACCAAAAGAATTTCTTATTCTCTTCCTTATTCTCTTTAACAGCCTCACCTAAGGGACTTACACTGCATAGTACATAGCACCCTTAGGCCTGGCTTTTCTCTTAGACTGCAACGATGGACATTTTGTACACATCTTTGTTTATCTTTGTATTTTAATCATCAACACAGTACCTGGCTCACACATATGTCCAAAAGATGGCACCAAAGAAGTAGATACTCAGAATACTGCCCACCTAGTACCCCTTCAGGATAGGGGTTAGCCTCAACTTCAAAGGAATATTGTAAGAAATTTGTAATCCACATGCAGGTCTACCTTGAAACAACTCCTAAGTAACTTCCACGTAAAATGCATAATTACCCAAGCTCCCCAGACCCCAAGAGTAACTCCTGGGTGCACAAAAATGTATCCAAACCCAAACTTGGTACAGATGCCTTCATGGCACTGCCCATCTTCTTGTTTAAAGGTATAATTCTCTCCAAATCTACTTTGCAATAAATTCTACCTATACTTCTGCACAGCCCATGTGTCTTGACTGAATTCTTTCAACAAGGGCGCAAAGAACCAAAGACCAAGGAAGTGAGAACCCAGTTTCCTGGTAACACCACTGATCCCTCAACTCCTAAAGTGATGCTTCCTATTAGTTAACAGGTGCTTAGTAAATTACCTCCAACCCTAACATAATGCCTGGCACAAACTGAATACTGAATTCAGTTAATCAACCCCCAAGTGCACGAAAGAATGACATTCACACTGGTTTGTTAATGTTTCAATCAAGGATGCCTAAAAGCGATGCCTTGCAAAGACTTTTCAGTGACCTAAACTTATAATTTAAATGAGATTATCTTGATTTTTGTTTTTGAGACGAGGTCTCACTTTATAGTGCAGGTTGGCCTTAAACTCCCCATGTAGCCCAGGGTGGCCTCAAACTCACAGAAATCCTCCTGCCTCAACCTCCCCGAATACTGGGATTAGCTCCTCCTGCCTCAGTTTTCTGAATGCTGGGATTACAGTTGTACATCACCACTCCCGGTTAAAATGAGATTATTAAAATGCCATTTTATTACTACTCTCTGAGTATAGCAGGAAAGTGCTGCTCTACTTCTGTTGGTTATTTTTTCACTCCCCATTTCACAACCTGTGGTTTTGCAGGGCATTTAAACACTCAACATACCTGCTTTGTTCTAATGCAATTTCCAAAGAAAGGCACGTGATGACTCAATGAGCTGCCTGCCAGAGCCCCTCTCTTCCAGACTCCTTCCAACCACCACCTCCTTTCCTCCTCTTGGGGGACAAAGAACCATTCAACACAATTTACCAAGTGGCTATTTTCCAAAGCCCTGTGTCTTAAAAGATAGATGGAAACACCTCTCCTAAAGACTAAAGGCATTAGATCTGGGGAAAAGTCTTGTCAACTTTCCAGTCACTTTAGAAGTGTAAATAAGACTTGGCAGAGTTTAACTTCCCTTTGAGCTGGAAGCATTTTGTTGGGTGGTACCTTCATCATTTGTGTGCTTCTATCTGTTCTCGTGCTTTGAGCCACTCCTAAAAGAGCTGTAAAGCATATTAAGGGAAGCATGCATCTTAGTTTTCCATCTCGGATGCCAGTGCAATGCTGGCTAAAGTTTGAGCGGAAATAAATGAACCGGAAGAATTCCACCTCCAGTTTGGAACCTAAACAGATTTGCACCGCTAAGCAAGTTACTCCACCTCACTGTAACTGTTTCCCCAATGCTTAGTCTAAAATGCTGTAGGATCAGCCACAAACCCAGAAGTTCCTATAAATTTGGTTACCCATATTGACTTAAAGGAAGGAAGAAAAAAGGGGGGGTAAACAGCGCCTCAACTGTACTCTTGCTTCAATAGGGCGAGTGGGTGTCCTTGGGGACCACTTACCCTCCCTAAACCAGGTGGTCATGTAGCTAAGGATATGGGTAGGATCCAGCGTCTTCCTGACGTGGTCGCTGTAGGCTCGCAGGTTGTGCCGCTGCTCCGCCGTCATGTTCCTCTGGCTGCGCGAGAAAGGAGGGGTAGGGCGTGAGTCGGCGGGGAGGCAAGGGGTTTTCGGAGAAATCCTTTTGGGCTGAGAGGCGGAGCTACCAGCGGACTTTAGATAGGAGAAAACCGAAAGTGCAACTAGACGCGGCGGAAGATCTGGGGACTGAGCATGCTCCCCACGAGGAACAGCTGAGTTTCACTTCCTAAGGGGCAGAGGGAGCGCGGGACTGACAGTGGGAGGAAGAGCTCTCCTGCGAATTGCGTTTCTTTTTATCGTTTTGTTTTGTTTTATAAGAAGGCTTAGGTACAATACACTGCGCACAGTTTAAGTGTTCAAGTCGAAGAATCTTGAAAGACGTATTACAGCTGTAACTACTACTGCACTCCGAAATGAGGACCCACATGGTGAATGTGTTTTAACTTCATAGGAAATTGCTACCTGTTTTCTAAAATGACCACACCAGTTTGCAGTTCCACCCTCAGAAGAAAACTCTAGGACCTAAGTGCTTTGCACACTGGTCAGTCTTTATAGTTAAACTTGCTTCTTGGTCAGTGTGAAATATCGCAGTAGTTTTAACAGTAAATTCCCCACATGGTGATCTTGGACACATTTGCATGTTCTTACTGGCTGTTCCTATCACGTCTTTTGTGAAGCATCTGCTCCTATCTTTTGCTTGATGTTGGAGTTTTGTTTTATAAATTTACAGGACTTATTTATTATCATGGATACAAAACTGTCAAAAACACCTACTTGAAATATCTCCTGCCAGTCTGTAGCTTACCATTTCATTTTCTTAAAGATGTCTTTTAAAAGTTTTTTAAAAGTTTACACTGCTGAGACTAATTCGTCAAGTTTTCTGTGTGTTGCTTTTTGTGTCCTTTTAAATAAATCTTTACCTACCCCAAGGTCATGAAGGTATTCTGTTTTCTATTAAGAATATATTTTAATTTTCACTTTTCAGTCTCCAATTTTGTAATGGTGTAACATAGAGGTTCCAGATCTTTTTTTTTTTTTCAAAATTTCTAATTGTACCAGCACCATTTTTTAAAAAATATTTTTCTTCCTCCATTGAATAGCCTTGGGACATTTGTCAAGATATCAATCAACTGTGAGTAGTTCTATTCCTCATTATTGTATTCCACTCTATTGCCTAATACTGGTAACATACTACTCTTGGTTCCTGTAGATTTCAAGTAAATGTTCCAATCGGGTAGTATTCAGTATTCCAAATTTGTTCCATATTGTAAAGATTATATTAGCTCTTCTAGGTTCTTTATATTTCTAATGAAGAATCAACTTGTCAATGGAAAAAACAAAAAAACAAAAAACAAAAACCTATTGGAATTTCTACCCATATTGCATTGAATCTACAGATGAATTCCCAGAGAACTGACATCTTCACAATATTGCACCTTATCCATAAGCATGGTATTCCTTTCTGTTTACTTAGGTTGTTTATTTCTCTCAGCAGTGTTTCCAGTTTTGAACATACAGCTTTTATTTTGCTTTTTTTTTTTTCACTAGGGACTGAACTCAGGGCCTTACCCTGAGGTACATCCCCATCCCTTGAGACAGAGTCTCACTAAATCTCTAAATTGCCCATATTTGGTGAGAACTTTCCATCTCCCTGTCCAGGCTGGGCTGTAACTTTCCATCCTACTGCGGGCCTCCTACAGTTCTAGGATCAAAGAGTTCAAGTCTTGTACATATTATATTTAATTTAATCATGGCCATTTTATGATGCTATTGTTAATGGAATTATTTTTAAAACTTCATTTTCAGATTGTGGCTACTACTTAGAAATACAAGTGACTTTTGTTTGTTGAGTTTCTATCATGCAACATTGCTAAAATCACACTAGTTCTAGTCATTTTTCTGTATATTTCTTAAAATTTTTCTGGTAAACAATGATCATTTGCACACACATTCCTTCCCAATCTTTATGATTTTCATTTGTTTTCCTTATAGTTATACATCTTCCTTTCTAATCATTTAGTTTTTGCTTCATTTTCTTTACCTATTACTTCATGTAGGGCATCCAACAGAAAGCCGAATAAAAGTGATAAGAGTTGACACTCTCACCTTATAACTAATCTCAGTGGAAAAATGATCAGTTTCATTATAATTATGAAGTTAGCTCTAAGTTTTTTCTTAGATGCCCTTATCAGACTAATGAAGTTCTCTCATTACTCCTGGTTTGTTGAGTTTTTCAAATTTTTGAATTCTAAAAAAAAAAATCTGGTATCTATTGAGGTGATCATATGTTCTATTAATATAACCAAATTTCATTGACTTTTTTTTTCTTGTTTCTTGGTGCTGGGACTGGACATAGGACCTCATGCATCCTATGCAAGCACTCTTTATCACTGAGCTACATCTCCAACCCTTGTTTCTAGTTTTGGAATGTTAAAACCAACCCAGCATTCCTGGAATAAATCCCACTTGGTCATGAACTACTAGCATTTTATGTATTTCTAGATTCAGTCTGCTAGAATTTTCACATATATTTTTGTGTCTGTGTTCATACAGACACTGATGTAATTTTCTTGTAATGTCTTTGTCAGGTTTTGATGTCAGGGTTATACTAGCATCATAAAGTAAGAGTATGTAAGACTGTTATCATTTCTCCCTAAAATGTTTAATAGAATTCATCTATAAACTATCTGAAGTTAGGCATGGTGCCTGTAACCTCAATATTCAGAAGGCTAAAGCAAGACGATCACTAAGTTCGAGGAGATTCAAGAGGTTCATCAAGTTCAAGGAGATTCTTTATAATGATTTCAACTTCTTTACTAAATATAAGGCTAGTATGTTTCATTCTGAGTCAGTTTTGGTAAGTTGTGCTTTTCAAATATTAAACTACTGTAATTAAATGACAGAACATTTACTCTAATGCCCTTGTAAGCTTTACTGCCCTTGTAAGCAAATGAATCTTATGCTCGGTCAAACACAAATGCCCAATTTGGCATTAGTTATATTGTCTTAAAGTTCTCTCCTGGATAGTCCAGATAAAGCAATTGCTCATACATTAACCCATCAAATAATTTCTTTGCTTTGCTTCCTGATTCACCCTACAAAAGCTGACAGAACTTACATTATAGAACACTATACCTAAGAACCAGAAAAGCTCTTTAACCCTCTCCAGCAGAACCTTGAATTGCTTCTAGTTTAGAGCTGCCCAATTCATGAATCACTATTAAATTAAAATTAAAATTTAATGAGCAAAAGTTTATCAATGCAATAAATTTAACCATTTAGAGAAAATACAATAAATTTAACCATTTATTTAGAGAACCATTTTCTCTAAATAGTTAAATTTATGTCACAAGTTGTTCAACACACTCATTATCTTTTTTACCTTTTAAAAAAGTCAGTCTTGCCAGGGATTTATCAATTATTATTTTTCTTTTCAAAGAACCAATATTCACTTTAATAATATTCTCCACTATTATTCTACTTCCTATTTCATGGATTTCTGCTCTAATTTAGATTATTATTTTCTCCTTGCTTTGAGTACAATTTGCCAATCTCTTACTAGCTTCTTAAAAATAGAAGCCTAGATCAGATTGTATATATTTTTCTATTTCAGTTTAAGCATTTAAGTCTATAAATTTCTATTTTTCAACCTAGATCCTCTAGTATCTCCTAAGTTTGATATATTGTGTTAATGTCTTTTCATTCAAAATAGTTTCTAATAGTCCTATGATTTCTTCCTCAACCTGATTACTTAGAAGTGTGCTGTTTTTCAAATACTGAGAACTTTCTAAATAGCTTAAACATGTGAAGGAGCTTAGAGTTAAGAGAAAAAGCAGAAACAAATATAGACTGAGACAACTCAGAAGAGGGAATTAATTAGCAAAGACTTTAAAGACTCTATTAGAAGCCAGGCCTCTTGGAATTACCTGTTGTAATTCCAGCAATCTGGGAGGCTGAAATAGGACTGTTATTAACTTCTGATTTTAATGTTGTCGTCAGAACAAATTTACTGTAAAATTTCAATCTTTTAAAATTTACTGAACTTATTTTACACCCCAGCATATGGACCATCTTGATATATTTCAGGTTCATATAAAAGTACTCTGCAGTTCTTGGCTGTATATGTCAATCATGTCAAAATGGTTCGCAATGTGGTCCGATCTTCTACATCCACACTGATTTTGTTTATATTTTCTATCAAGTACTTCGAGAGATTTTAAACCTCCACCTTTGATTATGGATTTGTCCACTTATCCCTTTAGTACTCAGTCTTTGCTTCATACTTTACAGCTGTCTTTGAGGTAGGAAGACAGGATGTGTCTAAAACTAGCTGGGAAAAGAGGCCTGACAAGATCCCAGGACACACACACACAGAACAATTCTCAGAGCCCTTCATGTAGACGCTTCATAAGAACTCAAGCAGGTTTTTGGTAGGATGACCTGGACGTGACGTGACACCAGTGTGGGAAACATAAAAGGGACAGTCATCATTAAGCCCTCACTATCCCTTCAGAGTAGCCCACCCTACACTGTAGGGTGAATCCTTATTTTACTTCCTTTATCTTTTACTTGGGTAAAACTCACTCTGCAGAGCTTGTTCTTTTCTTACATTTAATAAATGTGAAATTTTGTCACGGCTTATGCTTGTTTTATTCAATTTTTTAAATTGAATTTGGAACAGAAAGAACCTAGAAATCACCTCTGGGAGGAGACTTCAGCATCCCAGAGCCCAGGAACATTTAGATGCATTCACATTTAGGATTCTTAGATTTTTTTTTTTTTTCTGATAATACTTTTTTTTTTTTTTTCAGTATGGGAAACTGAACTCAGGACCACTCTGGGGTGCATCCATAGTCCAATTTTTTAGTTTTGAACAGGGTCTCACTAAGTCACCAATTTGCTCAGGCTGGACTGGAATTTGCCCTGTCTCAGCCTTCTGGAGTGCTGGAATTATAGGTGTGTGCAACCAGGCCTGGTTTCTAATAGTGTCTTTGAAGTCTTTGGTAATTCCTTCATCTGGGTTACGTCAGTCTATGTTTATTTTTGCTTTATTTTTTAACTCTAGGTTCCTTTACATATCTAGTAATTTTTTTATTTTACAGTGGACATTATGGATGTTATACTCTAGATGGTTTTATTCTCAGAAGTGTTGCTTGTTCTAGCATGCGACTGAATAAGTAGGTGATCAATTTGAACTTAAAATCTTCCTTTACACTCTTTTGTGGGGGAGTACCGGGGATCAAACTCAGGACCTTCCTCTTGCGAGGCTGATGGCAGCACCACTGAGCTAAATCCCTGGCCTTCATTTACACATTGTGGTAGGTTGGTTTCAGATTTGCTCTTAATGCAAGTTAAATCCTTAGTCCTTGCTTATTGTCTTCTCTGCTAAAATGTGCAGGAGTTTCCATGAAAAGCTCTACATATTTCCTAGCTCATTTAAACTGGGGGCTC